CCCCCCCCCCCCCGCCCCCTCATCAAGGGATCTCCCCGTCTTCGACTTTCTCTAAGCCCCTGGCATGAAACCTTCCACCTGCAGATGACCTGCGGTCATCTCAGCAAAGTGTCGCCCGGCCCTTTCCAGAGATGCCGCTGTCGGTCACAAGGGTTCGAGGGGGAGAGGGGGAGAGGCGTCCTTCTGTCCGAGCCTACCGGGCAGGGGTGCCAGGCCGGCCCCGACCTCCTGCGCTCCCCGCCAACACCAGTACCTTCTCCGTGCAGCACACCAAGGAGCACAAAGGAGTGTGTTTGCTGTGCTCATGCCATTTAATGGTTTTGGACTGAAACGGTGTTCGGGTAGCAAAGGATAGGTCAGTGATGGGTCGTCGTGTTATCAGAACTAAAAGAGAATGTTTGGTTCAGTGTAGCCACTGTAAGTACCTGCAGCCGTAACTGAGGGTAAATAGCATTCTGAATATAGAGAGTAGAATGACAGGAACTGGTATAGCACAGAAGATTTTTTAAGTGATTTTTGAAAGAGGCGGAGAAAGGGAAACCGAGAATCCGAAGCGGGCTTCGCGTTGTCAGCGCAGAGCCCGAGGTGAGGCTCGAACTCCCGAGCCCCGCGATCGTGACCTGAGCCACAATCGGGAGTCAGACACTTAACTGAGCCACCAGGCACCCCCAGTACAGAGTACTGTGTCGGGCAGTCAGCTCTCGGCTCTCCTGACGGAAGACAAATGCTGTTACAGTAGGAGGTGTTGAAAACAGCCTGTGACCCGTTTTGTTGGGTCTCAGGGTGGATTACGTGTCCCGCTTCTGTGCTTTTAATCTGACCCACCTTCTTGATCCCCTTTGGCTGGGTTGACCTTCAGATGGATTTGCATTCTCCAGCCCATGGCCTCTTGTGGCAGGGAAAGGGGGTCGTGAGCCAAGTTCACTGGCATGGGGGTGCGGGCGTCCGCGGAGACCTCAGGCTCCCCGGGGAGTGCCGTACATAAACCAGTTCTCTCGCAGAAGGAGAGGCGATGGTGGGCCCTGCGTGCAGGCAGCCTGACACCAAGGCGAGTTGCGCGGCCCCAGACAGGCCTCCCAGAAACCCCCCAGCCCCACGCCAGGAAAAACGTGACAGAGGCTTTCGGTGAAACACTAGAAATCGTGATGGGCGGGTCTGCAGCATGACCTCATTAAGTGCTGCCTGCTGTCAAAAAGTCGTCAAACCCTGCCACCCCC